ACAGACAACAGCTAGTTTTCAGCTGGAAGACATTAACAGTTAATGGTTAGCGATATGCTGCTATTCTGGTATTACTGGTCACCGTAGGAAATTTTGCTTTCACTTTAGTCGTGTACTTGGTAGCGTAGTTGATTGCCTCAACAGGGAGTATTAGCCACGACGCCTTGTAAAAAATGAATTTATATTTTACCTTCGAATGTCAATCTGGTCAGTACGCCCATCGGTCTAAAAACTTGCTCAGGCTAAACATGCACCGACAGCGTTCACTTCCCAAAGAAGATACGAAAAATTAGCCATTCCGTTTACCGTTTTCCAAAATACGTAGAACTTAGTCATTTCAAGTTGTTGTTTTGCAGAGGTCGCCAAAGCAGACCGTGTGCGCACTAACAAAAGTAGGCACCGTGCGTAAGGTGACCGAACACAGTTTTCGCGCGCGCTCCTGCTAATGCGATTCAGTGCGCGCACAAGGATTACAAAAACAAACATGACGTTGATACAGTGATCATTTGATTTGCTCAATGCCTGCACTATCTGTGCCATTTTTCTTCGTAATTGAATGCAGTCTGTTGATATTTCACTCTTTTATAACAAAGGTATATTAGTAAAGGTAACGATGCAAAGAACCGAGCAATTCTCAGATTTTTCTTTGTTATCGAAAGAGCCCAGTTAAATATAGCGCATGCGTAGTAAGTCAAAATTGCGATTGAATGCGAAATTGCTTTCTCGGAAATACGCCTATTTCTCAAGAACCGCTCGTTAGAATTTCACGAAATGTGGCTCGAAAATACTTTAGAAATGAGTAACTGGAGTTTTGAAAAAAAAATTTAACTTTAACGAAGAAAATTTTAAATATTTCAGTGAACCTTCAACAAGGGATAATTAAAGATGTCTGTTAAATAATTATCAAAATAGTGTCAACTTGTGAGCATCTTTACAAGCTTGCTGCATGTAAAGTAAAGAGAAAATCTAATGACTAGAGTTTCTACAAATAAACAAAACCGTTTTAAAAGGCCTGGTTATAATTATTTATGTTGCCATGGCAACGGGACATATGTCAGCTTCACTATCAAAAAATCAAAGTTTGTGCTGTTACCTTTTTTGCTGCCACTTCCGGTGACCAAAGGATCAAGGAATTTAGAGAAAAAGGTGATCGAAACATAGGTATCAAAAACTGTGTTCAGCCACCTGAATGGCCGAGTTATCCAGCACTTCAGAAATACGCGTGAGTATGGCTTTATTTGGCTCCTGTAATTTGTGATCGTCTAAATTTGAGAACTCTGTCTCGTGTAGCTTGAGACCAATGACTTATTCCCAGTAAAGTTCGCTGGGAATGAAAGACCATTACTTCAAGCCGCCAAGAGATGACAGTTATATCGAAATTCTGATTTTTTTTTTTTTATAGGATAAAATACTACGCGACACTTCTCGCTCGGGTGAAAATACTTGACGGAACAAAAAAATATATATTAGAGGAATCGAGTAAGATACTAAAACACCTAAAATAAACAACTGGCACTTCCAGGATCTAGGAATTCGTGTCACGTTCAATGCTGAATACACGGACTTGATCAAGTAAAACTTGATCATGACTGATTGCATGAGCCGGGCTGGCTCAGAATGCCGTGATATCAGTATCAAGATGCCGGGATCCCGGCTAACCGAGCTTGAAATTTTTCATGTAATCAACTTCACAGGGCCGGCCCACTTCGCGCCAAAATTGAGCTCACTCCGGTACATACATATACATACATGCATACATCCTTTATTATCTTTCCCCATGGGGGCTTTTCGAAGACAATATGGTACAATACTACAATTAAATACTAACATACTAAAATTAATATTACATTCTAATTTAGATAATCACGAATTTAAAAACTCTACAATTAATTTACGTTTCAATGCTCAATGTCAATGTCTCAGGCGGGTCATGTAATACCGAACAAAACGTCCTCTGGGCGAACCGTGCGATGCCAACCGACTCTGGACAAAGTGAATCTAGGCACACTAATAAAAGCCAGCCCGTTAAACCGGGGCAGCCCCGGCTCATGTGATCAGCCCCATATATAAGACTATTACCATCGATGCCCAATAGCGCTTTACACAGTAAACAAATTTCTGTCTGATAGCGACCAAAAAATACAAATATAAATTCAATTACAATCCGATTATGGCCACGTAATGTTCGATTAAAATTTCACAACAACCGTCAGGCTAGGTGGCATACGAAAAAGATTGAGAGAGTTACATTTCAGTCGTATATTTACACACTTAATAAAACTATTCGACTTAAAATATAAAAAGTAAATTACTTATGAAATAAGGCGTTCTTAGAATGATCAATAAGTCTTTCAATTTCGTTAGTAATCACAAAATCGAATTTCTAGAGGAATTTCTAAAGCTCCTAATTGTCTCTTGTGATTTCAGAACGCCAAACTCACTGAAAATTTTCCTTAGAAATGATTTCCCTTACTTCGGGTCATTCGTTTTAGAGTTATGACAGGATTTTTCATTCTCCTGAAGCGGAAAGGATGGTCTATTAGAGCGAAGGCAGGGGTTTTATCCAGGGTGGGAGGCTGCAAGCGCGAAGCGCGTGTCAACGAAGAAACGAACAAACTCGGGACGCGTTGAAACGCACGCGTCGTGCTTATTGTTTTATTATTATTATTATTATTATTATTATTTTATCGGGCGCTTAACACGCAAATCTCCCTCGACCTCATCTTAATTCATGAGTTCCCAACAGTCCGATATTTGTCCTTCCAGCTTGCTTCTGTATTGGAAAATATGACATTCGGTAAGCAATCGCACGGAGACGCTGGTGAACGCCCTTTTAGACTAGTTATCTTCTCTGCTGGTCGCCGGCTATGAAACACATGATATGACCAAATCAAAACGCCAGCAGAGCCTCTACACTCAGAGTTCCTTAATATCGTTTTCGTGGGCACAAGCACTCAAGAGAATTATTAGAGGGTCTTCAGGGTTTCAACTGGGCTCTTGCAGGGTTTAAATTTCCACAGAATCCCCAGAGATTTCCTGAAGGATTCCCGCAATTTTACTACAAGGATATTATGGTTCCTTCGGATGGAAACGTTTTTGTTTATCTACGGAGTTCAAACTCCAAGCAAAGTTCTCATACGAGATAATGATCCTATGGTCTAGTGTGTCCTTCCAACTTACTTATCACCTCACTTGTGGTTGGACGTTCTTCAGCGTTTCTTTTCACACACCGCCTAATGAGTCTTCGCAAGGTGCCATTAGTTACCTGCCCTATCTGAATACGCATTCCTTGAGGATCCGGAAGTTCTCTAATGCACATTTCACACAACAGTACGCCAAAACTGTACACGTCCACCTAGAGGAGAAAATAAAGTATTTTACCACAATTGCTATTAATTTCGCAATCTGATTGGCTAATTTACCGTTGACGATAAGAGTCTAGACAACGCTGCTCGCGTCAATGTGTCACGCAATACCTTTTTTAGCTCGCGCTCTGAAAAAAACATTTTCTTTAACGTTGATATTGTGGTAAAAAACAAATCGAAATGTGGTTTAGCGTGGTCTGTACTCTTATCGACAACGATACGCGTCATCACAGTGGTCAAAATTTGTTGTGGACTCACTCGGCTGCACCTCGTGAGTCCACAACATTTAAAGCGAAGTAAACAGTCTTGAAAAGCAATTTGAAGAGTTCCTTTTCTCGGTCAACCACTTGGATACAAAAGAAATCTGCAAATCTGTCACTTGTTTCCTAACAAGGTGGAATGTACTAGCCACTGAGTTCAAGGGCACCGGTAGGGAGAAATAAGCTATGACTAAGTAATGTTAGGATTGAATGGGACACTAATGTTCTTCAGCATGCAGGTGTTCTCTATCGACTGAAACGGACAGCCCTCTTTCACTGGATTATGGACAATGGGTATTTTTTTACGTGCAACACATTTTTCTGCTTCCTTAAGGTGGCTCAAAACATTTTCAAGCACTTTCCAAGACGTAGAGTTTAATGGATACAATCATGGTATCAAAAAAACTGCCCAATCATTGGTGAATACGTTGTTATCATTTTCGTGACTCTATTTGATACAATAACAACAATATGACCTGCTGAAAACACCCTTAGTTTTAGCTTTAATTAAGTACATGTATTCCAAAAACGGCATGGTGAAACCCTTTATTATCGAGTTTTGATAAGCAGGATAAAATGAGACTTTTGGCAAAGTTTAAAAGAAGTCTGTACATGGGGTTCAGAGCCACCCAAAAGTTTCAAGTTCCAAAATTGGGCAGCATCAACTGTTAAAGAGTGTTTATGATGATCCATCAAACTCTACGTCTTGGAAAGCGCTGGAAAGTGTTTTGAGCCACCTTAAAAACCAATTGACTTCAGTAGTAACCACATTATTGGGTCTAAAACAATGAAATGAAAAGAAACCTTGGCATTATATTTCTGAAAATTCATGCAACATCTACGCTGGATTCTACTTTTTGCTTATTTTCTCGCATCGTAGAGAACGATAACTTAAACAGGAGTATTGATATGCAATCTACTATTAAATTTCGCCTACACTAAGGTTATGACATTCATTGGCGTTTTAGCCCACAATACACAAAGCCCAAAAAACCTTTTCCAGATTCATGTTACGGTACCTAGTTTCCTTGACGTTGACAACAAGAAACTCCTTTATTACCCGCGTTGACTGTTGAGCATTTGAAGTGAGTGTTTTGGGTGCAGAATAAATCCTTTCAACTGGATTCAAAGTGGTAAACTGACTTATAAAATTCGCAGATTCATAATCGCACATCGATCACATGCATGTCTTCACAACTAACGTAACATTATCACAAACCCCATAGCTATCGAAACAACTTCCCTTACTCTTCCTAGCCGAGGTTGTTCGAAGGCTGGATAACGATATCCAGCAGATAAATCACTATCCAATGGATAGGTGTTAACAAAAGAAACCATTCTATCCGCTGGGTAGTAATTTATCCGGCGAATAGCGTTATCCACTTTTTCATTACCTATGGTGACTGTTGAGAAGTGAGGGCCTCTGGAGCAGAATAGATCCTTGCCCCTGGGTTTTCAGTCATGCATTGACGCATGAAATTCGCCGACCATAGTCAGTCAGGCTCTTCAACACTCATCTCGTCTCCATAACAACACGTTGGCGCTGCTGATGTCTCGATGTATTATGGGATGCGGCCTATTAAGGTGAAGGTAATTTAATCCTTTGGCGACATTCATGGAGAGGCTGACAATCTCCTCGTCATTTAATGCTCGCTGAGACAACAAGCGCCGTAAACTTATTTCCAGTAGTTCAGTGACAAACAAAAGATGGCCGTCGTCGTTAGTGGCGCCGATAAACTGCAAAAGATTTGGGTGGCGACAACACGATGCGATTGTCATTTCTCGTTCAAACAATTTCCGATTATGATCAGAGAGAATCATATCATGAATTTTCTTGACAGCAACTTGGCAACTACGAAATGAACCCTCAAGTACCTCGCCCCAGGCCCCTTTGCCTAAAACTTTTCCGCTCAAAACGACTTCTTTCCGCTGGATGATCCAGTCACGTGTTTGATGAGTCTGGCGCTCGGTAGCTGTGTTCAATTCTCTTTCGGTGGAAGCGCGTCTGTCCCGTTCTTCCTCCATTTCAAGTTGCAAGTTCCTTAGTCTTTCTTCCAAGTCTGTCTTTTGCTGACGCTCCTCTACCAACAAACGCCGCAGATCTCTTAGAGCGGTCTCTTTGCTTTCAATCTGACCTGTCCTGAGATTTAATTCTTCTTCAAATGTCTGCCCCTGTGTTTCTGCCGTTGTCCTTTGTTCGTTTATAATAGTTTCTTTCTCCCTGGGCTCCTGCTCAGTCGTGTTTCGTAAAGATATTTCGTTATCAAGCCTTTGACGAATCTGCTCAAGTTCATTTTCCATTCTCTCTGCCAGCTAGTCACGAGAAGAGCTCACCTGGCTCAATTCCTCTTCTATTATCAATCTCGATCTTTCTGCTTCCGATAATCTTTCTTGTACTTGCCTCTTTTGCGTGTCGTGCAGACGCTTTTCGATATTTAGAATTCTTTCCTTCTCCGCAAGTTCCTTTTCCAATCTTTCTTTCTCTTCGGTAAGTTCAGTCCTCGCTTGGATTAATTCCTCTTCCAATCTAGTTCTTCTTAGCTGCTCCTCGCCTAACTTATTTCCCAGTATTACTGCATTCGTCTCTTTTTCCTGTAGCTGTTGCTCTGTTTTTCTGCGCAAACATATTTCGTTCCCCAATGTTCTTTGCATCTGGTCACGTTCATTTTCCAATATTCTTTCTAACCTAATACAGTCATTTCTTGCTTGGCTTAATTCCTCTTCCACGGTACCTCTTGTTAGCTTCTCTTCGCCTAATTCTTTCCGTAGTTCTTCTAGAAACGTCTTCTTTTCGCTTAATTCGTGCTCCCACGTACTGCGCAATTTTATTTCGTTTTCCAGCGTTCGTTGCATCTTTGCAAGTTCAGTTACTAATCTCCCTTCCAGCTCATTACATGTAATCTTCGTTTGGTTTAATTCCTCTTCAGCTCTATTTCTTGTCCGATGCTCTTCGCTTAATTCTTTCCGTAGTTCGTCTACGATCGTTCTCCTTTCTCTTAATTCTTGCTCCCTAGTGCTGCGCAATCCTATTTCGTTTTGCAGCGCTTGTTGCATCTTTGCAAGTTCAATTGCTAATCTCTCTACCACCTCTTTACATTTAAGCTTCGTTCGGTTTAATTCCTCTTCAACTCTTCTTCTTGCTTGCTTTTCTTATTCTATCGTTTTCTTTAATTCGTCCAGAACTGGTTCATTTTCTATTAATCCACTCCCTTTATTTGCAACCGACAGGAGCATTTTGTTACTGATCACTTGACGCATTTGCGCAAGCAGTTTATTTAGTCTTTCTTCTAGGTCCTTACAGGCAGTCTTCACAACCACTGATTCCTCTCCCAATCTCATTCTTTCACGTTCTCTTGGTCTAACGTTTTCTGCAGTTCCTCTACAATTGTTTCCTTTTCTTTTAATTCCTGCTCGTCCTGCTCTCTCATGTTGCGCCAAAATATTTCCTCACTGAGTGTTTTAGGCACTCGTGCAATTTCATTTTGCAGTTTTTGCAGGGTTTGTTGTCCTTCCATTTCTATGTTTGTCGTATTGTGGTAATTCTCGTTTACTCCAGACCCGTTTTCTTTATATTTAGGTTGTACTTTCTTTCTTTCCGTCTTTTTAAATACTGTTATTTACCGGACTGATTTACGCATGGAAGCAGTTATAATATTCACTTACTCCAGTTTTCCTCTCGTTTTCTTCAAAAGCTGTTGTTTGGTCGCTGGTGAGTAATTCCACTATTTTCCAGCAAATCTCTTCAATAACATCATGAGCACTGACGTTTAAGGTCTGAACAAGAAAAAGGACGTTAAGGTCCGGTAATGCGGGCAACATTTTTCTTCAACTTGTCTCGCAACATTGCTGCATTGCAAGTAGAAACCCTCTGTTCCGCGAATTACCAAGTTTGTGACCAACTTGTCTCGCCGCAAGATACAGTGTTGCAAGTCTACCGAATTCTACACGTATAATTGGTCAATCATGTGTAAATAAAGATCGCTCCTTCTTTCATATAATTAGCGTTACGACAAACTTCCACCTCGACTTCTGGCCGTCATTTCCTCCTTAATTTTCCGTACCAGCGAAGTTATCTCAATATGAAGTTCTGTTTCATTTCAGATAGCTAGGCGCAAAGTTGTATTTTTACTGCAGTTCTTCCAGCCCTTTCGCCTTTTTTGCTGTTTGTTTTGAAGGGACAAACGAAGTGTTCCAAAGACTATGGTCCTCGAGGTCTTTGTAAAGTGCAAATTTATGACTTTCCGAGAGTTACTGGTCTACTTCGAATTCAGGCTCGTCTTCGCCTTCTACCATTTTTTTTTTTATTTACCGCATTGCTGCGCTTCGCGACAGCCAATCACAAGCATTGAATTCAAATTTGTTATGAGACAAGTTGTAGCTTCAGTGGTAATACGAGCAGCAAAACTAAAATTTGTTGCGGAAAGTAGAACTCGAGTCTACTTTACGCAACCTGCTGCCCCAACTTAAACACCGTATTTGCTGCGAGACAAGTTGGTCACAAACGTGGTAATACGCGTAACAATGTGTTTCAACTTGAAATACAACAATGTTGCGAGACAACTTGAAGAAAAATGTTGCCCGTATTACCGGACTTTAACTTTGATTTATTAAACAGGACCGTGAGGAAATGTACCAAGAATTATAACGCACGTGCAAAGCCATTGTTTTGCTCATTAAGCCTTTTCTTTAGCAACGTTCCCGCTGCCGTCGTGGTTTTCTTGGTCCCGTTTACACGGGTTCGGACAAATTTTTGCATCGACGAATTTTGTTCCTGGACCGCCTGTTTACGGGGCAAATCAAACATGGCGGCAGATAAAAACTTTACGTGGTCTGATGAAGAAATTAATTTGTTGCTACATGTAGTTATAGACTTTTCCCTCGGTTGGTTGCTTCGTAATCTGTACATGCTCACCAAGAAATTCAAACGTGTAAATTGCTTCGATCGATGAAGATCGGAAACAATAGCCATTTGGAGCAACGTGTACTGCAAAAGCCCAGCTAATCTGGCTAAAATAGCGATGCATGCTACTGCCGCTCGTCTTCCCATACGGTAGTTTGCTTTTGTTTGTTTCTTTTGTCTTAAATTTAACAAAACTGTAGCAAACAAGGGACAAAATGTAGCAAAATGTTTCATTTTTGCTAAGCAACCAGGCAAAAATAACTAGACTCCAGGCCTTAACCGCGCTATCTGAGAAAATCGTTGCACGATTTGGGTGTTTACAAGAGGCAGTACGAAATATGGAACCGTGCCAAACTTGCACACCTAGCCGTTCAAAAATTCGCTCAGTTCCGCCGGTCCCGTGTAAACGCATGGTGAAACCATGCAAGTTTTTGTCCGTGCAAACATTTGTCCGGACCCGTGTAAATGGGACCTTATACTCTCTATCATGTCATGGCCCCGTGTCTCATCAAGAGACCACGTGACACTGACTACATGTACGCCTAGGTCGAGCTATTCTGATGTTATAATGTAGGAAAATATTATTCGCGCTAAAGCTGACGGGCGTTAAAATAACTAAACTTCTTGCCTAATATTGTGCTGAATTATGGAAAAAGATCACTGAAACAAGATGAAAGGCCCACCGCTTAGCCTACACGATCCCAAGGGAAGGGGGAGGGGTGGGGAATAGCATGGTCCCGTTGATTCGAAACATGCGTGGGCAGGTAAAATGGGTCTGCTAAATAACTAGAATTGACAAATTTAAATAAAACAACCGGTTTTCGACCTCACAGTAGTACTAAAC